AAAAAAAAAAAAAAAAAAAAAGAAACCAAAATTTGCTATAATGTCGGCGTTTTAAGTTTTGGTCTAAGCAGAAAGGGGAAAGGAAAGATACCTTAATTTCAATTTTTAATTTTTCAATTTTTAATTATTTAATTTTGAATTTCTCTCCTCTTCTCTTGGGTGTTGTCGATTTTGTATGTTTATCAACATTATTATGCATTATTTAAATTTTCTCATTATTATTCGGTAGACTGAATGTTGCTTTAACAAGTAATTAATTATTAACACTGTCTAGACGAATGACCATGGTGTCACTGTCGATTAAATATAATTGCTGTAATTAGATTGCTGTAATTACGCGTAATAAGGTGAAGGTGTGACAAGCACCTAAGCATCTTAGTTTAAAAAAAAAAAAAGTTTAACGTTTTCCATTATCCTCGATCCAAAATGCCATAGTAGTATATCACCTCTAGTCGGACGTCAAAGAAAATAATAGTTTATTTAAAGGAGTCGACAACACTTAGCAAAGAGATCATTACGGAAAAATCGACGTCTCCCAGTAGTAAAATATTGCTCCTATTCAAGAAATGGATTCCCACCAGATGGCTCATAACCACAACCATCGCTTGCTTTCTGTGGATATAAATAGTGTTGACTCGGACGGATATTCAGTCTAAAGTCAAATGAATCAACAATTAGTGTCCGAATTCGGCGGATTTCAACCACCAACCGACGAACAACAGCTCCCCCGCTGCCGCAAATAATGTTTTCTCTCAGGCGGCAGTTCCAGATACTGCTCACTGTCTATAACAAAGACATCTACCTTCCTTCAGATGCCGACGACGACCGGCGTCTCCAACTTCTAAACGATGAAATCAAAAGAAAACGTGTTTACCTTGAGTACCTGAAATTGTATATCCGCGACTTAGAGCAGGAGCTCAATTAGCGAGAGGCGGGAGTGTCGCGTCGAGCGAATACTCCCAGGCCCGAGGGGGACGAGAAGACGGTTCAAAGACGAGCTCTCAGAGCCGAGGAGCAGGAATGTTAAGAAAGCGGGTTCATTGGTGCTCCGGAGAAACGGTCCGACTTGGCAGGGTCAAATCTAAAGGGAATCTCGACCCCGCCTAAACCAAGGAACGTGTATATATAGCCAGAATTCAAAGAGGGAGAAACGAGTTTTACTTTGGGGTGATCTGTATTACTAACTGTTTTTATTGCTCTAATTTGTATGTTCGACTTATGATTTTGCTTTAGTTGTTTTAATGTTCTAACTCATGCACTCCGTTTTATGACTTTCTTACTAAATGGTTTAATTACTCAAGTTTGAGTTGGTATTGTATTAACCGCTTCCTGAAATAAACTATCTAATTGTCAAGTCCCGCGTTGCAGCAGAACAGCAACGGAAAAATCCAGTAGCTTTTAAGAAAGAAACAAGGCAACTACCTATCCTGGATATCAATTTATTTATAATCGGACTGTTTCAGAAAATTTGTAAGGTTGCTTCGTTATAAAGCATCACGCGTATATTCAGTAAACGATGAGAAAAAAACTGTGATGGAAAGTCATAAAAATTTTCCTAATGTTAACAGTATATTTGTCTCAAATTTATGTGTAAGTTTTGTGATATAGTTTCTAAAATTTCTTAGCTAGACTGTCAATAAATAATATTTTTTCATGTAAAATTGCTCTTTTTCTTTCGGCTTTGCTGTTTTTTCAAATTTTTTACTAAACCTTTTGTTTGGGTTTTACTCGGAAATTGGTGTATACTCTGTTTGTGACAGTAGTCTAGTTACCGGAAATTTGGCTTTTTTTCAAATGTTTACCGTTATTTTGCTACAAATAACGTAGGAAAAAAATGGTAATAGATATTGACGGTACTAACCTTCTACAAAAACTTTTTCAATTTTCAGACTTATCTTGTACCTTGTTTGGTTTAGCCAATTTGTAGTTTACAAAGATGAAATATGGGTAATATTTTAGAATGGCCACCCCAGCAAGCTGACTGGGTAGCTGCTCTTAGGTGGGGAAGGTGAGTTAGAGGACAGCAGCAAAGAGGAAGCGGACGACGGAGTGACGCAGCCGTAGTCTCGTTTTCCTTCACAATATGTCTTAAACTTTTTCACCTGTAAAGATTGCGGCGGAACTGCAATGCTCCAGATTCTTGGATTCCCATTTCCAGCTTTTAGTGTCGCTGGCACTCTTGTCGATTGACGGCCGTA